TAAAAATCTAAAAATCTAAAAATCTAAAAATCTAAAAATCTAAAAATCTAAAAATCTAAAAATCTAAAAATCTAAAAATCTAAAAATCTAAAAATCTAAAAATCTAAAAATCTAAAAATCTAAAAATCTAAAAATCTAAAAATCTAAAAATCTAAAAATCTAAAAATCTAAAAATCTAAAAATCTAAAAATCTAAAAATCTAAAAATCTAAAAATCTAAAAATCTAAAAATCTAAAAATCTAAAAATCTAAAAATCTAAAAATCTAAAAATCTAAAAATCTAAAAATCTAAAAATCTAAAAATCTAAAAATCGAAAAATCGAAAAATCGAAAAATCGAAAAATCGAAAAATCGAAAAATCGAAAAATCGAAAAATCGAAAAATCGAAAAATCGAAAAATCGAAAAATCGAAAAATCGAAAAATCGAAAAATCGAAAAATCGAAAAATCGAAAAATCGAAAAATCGAAAAATCGAAAAATCGAAAAATCGAAAAATCGAAAAATCGAAAAATCGAAAAATCGAAAAATCGAAAAATCGAAAAATCGAAAAATCGAAAAATCGAAAAATCGAAAAATCGAAAAATCGAAAAATCGAAAAATCGAAAAATCGAAAAATCGAAAAATCGAAAAATCGAAAAATCGAAAAATCGAAAAATCGAAAAATCGAAAAATCGAAAAATCGAAAAATCGAAAATTCGAAAAATCGAAAAATCAAAAACTCGAAAAATCGAAAAATCTTAAATTCGAAAAATTGAAAAATTGAAAAATTGAAAAATTGAAAAATTGAAAAATTGAAAAATTGAAAAATTGAAAAATTGAAAAATTGAAAAATTGAAAAATTGAAAAATTGAAAAATTGAAAAATTGAAAAATTGAAAAATTGAAAAATTGAAAAATTGAAAAATTGAAAAATTGAAAAATTGAAAAATTGAAAAATTGAAAAATCGAAAAATCGAAAAAGAAATTCCGTAACGAAAATAAACCTAACACCCCCCACTCCGACCAGCACAGCGGTACGGCGTTGAAAGCCGTGCATCGTCTAACGTCGTTTCAGTTCGGCAGACTTCGGCACGGTGTTTGTGTGCGTGCGACTAGACGTATGCGTGTAGACTAGCTGCTTACTGCTCATAACTGATTCTAAAATGAATAATGATCCACAAGAATCAACAACAAAATATGGGACCACCATTGACGCGGTATTTTCCAGATATTTAGAGGATGTCAAGTCTCAAACCTACATGCATTGTAAGATAATAAAAATATTTTAAACAACATTAACTTCTCATTTATTCAATAAAAGAAAAAAAATTGTTTTCTTATCGGTCACCACGCTCAAAAAGTGTAACTTGAATTAATATCAAAGAAAAAACTTGAATTAATATTAAAGAAAAAAAATACTGCATAAATAAATAATTATAATTGCATAAGTTGATAAAAAATGCTATGCAGCGGCAGTCCCCGAGTGCCACTGGTATTTTTTTTTGTATTTGTTGATGTATGTTTTAAATAAATAATAATAACTATATTAAAAATTCCAAATTTTTTTTACAATTCTAAACGGCTTGATTGCATTTAGGCGGTACCCAGCGCATTTAATATAATTGCAACATCATTATATTCCCTTATAAACCAAATGTCAGAAACTTCATATATATTTCAGTTTGAAACTAAAATTCATTCATACAATTCTGTATTATATTTCTATTTCTGAATCGTTTGTAAATATTTAGCATGAATCTTGGATTTGCTAAAGCAGATTTAGCTTATTTAAAAAGTCCACAAAGGTCAAATACAAACCACTGAAGTAAATTAAGCATTACGATAAGAAAACAAATTATTCTATAGGGTAAATTTAGGCGTGAAATTCAATCAAAAATGGCTTTTCAATTCCAATTTTCTTCTAAATACTTAAAAGGACAAATCAATGTTTTCTTGTTAAAATAATCACAATTCTTAATTATTATTTCGACATAATTAACTTAAAAATTTCGATGCGTTGTTATAGTCCATTGTATAATACCGAGTACGTTAATAATTTCAATTAACGATTGTGTAACTGTCGAAATTTATAACGATTCGAGCGAAGAAATAAATTTTACTGTATTATACCCAATTAAAAGTATTCCAGTTAATAATAATTTTAAAAGTTACAACTTTACTAATCAACCCATTATTGATAATTGCGACAAACATGAAATTGTTGATCTAATTAAGACAGATCACAAAGAAATGACTATCGGAATTTATAAAAAACATAATGAACTTGTAACTAACGACCAAAAAATTTTAAAATAAAAAACAAAATGGTCCGAATTCATTGGAAATAGTTTTTTATACACCGTATAAAAATAATTTTAAAAGAATTTTATTTAATCAAAAAATGTACTATTGCAGCATTCCCCTCATCATGGTTATAATTATTGTGGCCCAAGAAATTAGAGTCACAAGTCTGGAAAAATTTCCAGTCATATTCCAAGCTCTAGGGAGATTGGTAGTGAAAAATTTACAATATAAAAGTTTTCCAAATAGTGTAGACGTTAAAGTAGTTGGCTAATATTATGATTTTTCAAACACACTGTGATTACTAAAATTAAAATAAATACGATTAGGTTTCCTTAAACACTTTGGGCTATTAGCGTTTAAAAGGGCTTTTTAAAATCAATTAAATAAATTGGCGATCTCAATCTAATCAGTAATTGTACATAATTTGTATATATTTGTATATAATTATTTATTCATTGGCCAGCTGGTCTTAGAGTTATTTTTTCACTTTTATAGAATTTTATGATAATAACAATGAGTTAAGGCTGCAATAAACAGATATTTGTTTTGTAACTTATTAAAAAAAAAATCAGCATGCTAAATGTATATGGCATAATTATTTAAACTTTTATGTTGTAATTAATTTCTTTATTAAAAAAAATATATAAATCATTTTAAAGCGTTAGGAGTTAAAAAAAAACTGCTTCAACTACTAACGAAGTAAATGATTATTTGAACTCTGCTTGTTCAAACCCAAAAATATATCACATGAATATAGGAAGTGTAAGGAATAATCTAGATTCACTACTGGTACAATTGGAACAAATAAAACTCATCTAATTTTAGGAGATATCAACATAGATTTAAAATCAGATTCAAATGTAAAAAATATTTATTTAAATTTAACAAGTGCATACGGCTCATTGCTGATGCATCTAACTCCTTTGAATATAACCCTATTGTTATGCAGTCAGATATATCTGATTATTTCTCTACAATAATTCAAATAATCTCACAAGCTAAGACAATATAATTCAATAATAAAATCATAAAATATGCAGATGAAAACAAATTAATTTAAAATGGGAAAACTTATATTCAACAAACAATATTGACACTGCTACTGATAACATAATATTGAAAATCAGAAAAATCAAAAAGAAATGCATGGATGACAAACGGTTTACTAAAATCAGCTGAAACAAAACAAAAGATTTACAATAAAATGAAAAATAACAGGCACAAAAACATATTTGGAAAATTAGTAGAAAACGCAAAAAGAATGTACTATCAAAAAGATTTGAAAAAATAAAGTCTGATTCTAGTAAAATATGGAGATCCATTAATACCCTAACAAAAAAATATATTAAACTTAAAGTATAAATCGTTGGATTAATTTGCAAAATGCGTAACTCCACATTTAGATGAAAATAAAAATTTGATGTCATTCGATATATATAAATATAGCGCATCTGAGGGAATAGTACATATCTCCGAAATTGTATTGCTTTTTTTAATATCCCTACAACACAAAACCTCGTAATTCCATCCCTGCCAGTTCCGTAATAGCAGAGTACGTAACTTCAGTAGTCCGCTTACTGTTGTATACACCGCACATGTGCTCCTCAAATTTATGCGATTATTGTAGTAATTGCAGTAATTTATTATTATAGTAATTGTTAATGTGTAAATTCACCACATTTATGAGAATTGAAGATACGCAGTTTTCCTATAGTTTAGTTTATAGGTAAACATACTCACAGTACAGGAGTTTTCCACACGTTTTACTATAGGTCTATCTTTTATTACAGAAGATGTCCCGTCGAATAGATAAAATATTTGAATCATTGAATAATGACAGAAATAGTATCATTCTCCAAGAAATTACAGATACTAATTCAACACCGCCTGCAACAATATTAAATCGATTAAACGGTAATGAAAATATTGATGCAGCTGCTACAATTATACAAGACGCAGAAATATTATTTGTAGACAATGAAGGTAAATTCTATTATTATTCTGTTTTATCAAGATTCAGTTTATGTCATAATATGAAATAAATGTATATTTTGGATTAATCTATTATCTTTGTTCAAGGACAATGGGATGAAGACCTCAATGAAATATTGTTTTCTGAGAAACTACTGGATCCCTCTTTTTCTGCCATCACTGAAGAACCTGAAAAAAACGACCCCGATTTTTAACTAAGTCCAGAAGATACTCATAGTTCTGAATCGCATGAAAACATTTCGAATGTGCAAAATGATGAACTAAATGCAGATGATCCTCAAGAAGAAAGCCTGAAAAGGAAACGGTCTATAAAATACGAAATGGATAAGAATCGATGGGAAAAGAACAAAAACTATTTAAATGGAGAAAAAGGAAAGTATTATAAAGGAAAGTAAAAGGAGAATGGAAAATGGAGGTACGACTTACTGAAAGAACCAAGAATTATGAAAGAAAGTTGCAATTGTAAGTTAAGTCGAAATAAAAAATCCTCCCTAAAGTTCACTAGAATTAGTGAACATGAGAGAAAAAGAACTTTCGAAGAGTTCTGGCAATGTACGTGGTCGTAAAAGAAGATGTTTGTAAGAAACCATGTATGTGTACAGAAAACATCTAGAAAACGAGGTCTCAATGAAGAATCGAGAAGAACTTATTCGAATGCATTCTTTTTAGGTTCCCCTAGAATAAGAATTTGTAAAACGATGTTTTTAAATACACTTGGCGTGAAGGAATGGGTTATAAAAAATGGGCTAAGAGCGGACTAGAAGAGAATGACGTGGCTGTGCAAAATCAACAGAATTCTGCTATTATTAATGGTGTTCAAATATTCTACGATTCTCTACCAAAAATGGAGTCCCATTATTATAGAGCAACAGCCTCAAAACTTTACTTGGAACCAATGTGGACTAGCAAAAGTCAATTGTACCAATTCTACAAATCCAATTTTTGCAAAAATCAGAACCAAAAAGCCGTATCGATAGCCACTTTTCACAAACAATTTGAAAAAATAAACTTTCCCTATACATATAGACCAAAGAAGGATCTTTGTGATATTTGCGTGTCATTTCAAACAGGGAATATTTCGGAAGATGACTATAATGAACATATCAAATTTAAGGATGAAGCAAGAGCCAAAAAAAAAATGACGATAAACAATCACAGAATGATGTATTTACCATGGATCTCCAATCGGTTATACTTTGCCCGAAATCAAATGTATCATCACTCTATTATAAAACAAAATTGATTGTGCATAATTTCACAGTTTATGATATTAAATGCCAAAAAGGATTCTGCTACTTATGGAATGAGTCTGAAGGTGGGTTAACAAGTAACGAGTTTACCAGTATTATTGTACATTTCTTGAAGTAGCATGTCGTAATGAATAATTTAAAAGAAAGAAGCACTGAGTAAATACAAATTATATTATGGAGTGATGGTTGCGGTTACCAAAATCGAAACTGTACCCTATCAAATGGTTTATTAAACTTTGCCTTAAAGACTGGTATAACTGTAATCCAAAAGTATTTACAAAAAGGACACATGCAGATGGAAGTAGACAGTGTACATTCCGTTATTGAGCGACAAATTCGAAACAAAAAAATCAACATTCCTGCAGACTACGTATACATCTGCATAACCGCTTGTCATAAAAGTTCTTATAATGTAGAATACCTAATGCACAATTTCTTCAAAAAATATGATAACTTACAGACAGTTAAATCAATAAGATCAGGAAAAGCTGTTGTTGGTGAATGATCTTAAAGCACTGAAATACTCCAAAGATGGTATATTTTTTAAGCTTCGTCATACCGAAGATTGGCAATCCTTACCTATATGGCTAAATATCAGTAATATTGAGCCAATCAATTCTAATAACCTTCCACAACTTCATAAAACTAGGCTTAAAATAAAACCTGAAAAGTTTCAGCATCTTCAGCAATTACGTGATTATCACGATTTTTATGATAAGTTACCCCATTAAAATTAAAATGATTTCGTTGTTTTTTTTTATTATACATACTTTTATTAAAAAAATGTTCATTTGCTCATTATAATTTAGAAATACACTTTTTTTATTCGAATAAAGTATTTTCCTAATATTGACCTTAGTTTCATTACTCCTTAAAAAAACTGCGTATCTCCAAATTATTAACCACTCTTGACTAAGAAAAATGCGTAACTCCTTATTTTTGATTAAAATAACTCAATTATATAAAAATTCAAAGTGCACTCTAATGGTCTAGATTACTTTTGGTGGTAACTACAAAGAAGAAACAATTTGTTGTAATGATCGTATTGCAATACAAAAAAATCAGTTTTTAGCGTTTTCTTAAAAGTTTTAAGAATCGGACTTACGCATTATGCGAATTAAGCCGACGAAATGCAATAAAAACTGATAATGATCTCGTTACATCTGACAAAACAATAATAACAAATACTAATGTTGGTAAATCACTTGCAAATAAGAACAAACATAGAAGAAATAGACAACAAAAATTCCTTAAAACGAATTTAGGAAATTTATTTATTTTAAAAGAGGCTACACCAAATGAAATTATTGTTATAATCAAAGGCTTGACAAACAAAAAGTCCAGAATTAGATACTATCAGGACAGATGATTTAAAACATATTTCTTCTAAAATTACAGAACCACTAGCCTATATCATAAATATGGCATTCAAAATAGGTCGTTGTCCAGATGCGTTTAAATGCGCCGTCATAACGCCGAGGCTAGATGTGACCAATTACCGTCCTATATCACTAATACCGTGCCTTGCAAAAATATTTGAGAAGCTCTTGAAGAAACGTATTAACTCGTATCTAATCAAATATTTTATATTGTCGACAAACCAGTTTGGATTTACAGAAGGAAAATCAACAAATGATGCGCTCACACTCACAAACGACATTTTCAAAAGTATCGATACTGGTTTTTCTACCATATGTATATTTGTAGATCAAAAGAAAGCTTTTTATACCATTAGTTACATTCAGCTTATGAAAGTTTTAGATGGGCAAGGATTTAGGGGAACACCATACAAGCTTATGGAAATCTATCTTCAAAACAGAAAACAATGCGTTAAAATAGACGACACTAAAAGTACTTTTCTAACAAGTGAATACGGTGTTCCTCAGGGAACTGTCCTGGGTTCCCTGTTGTTCAATCTATATATAAATGACATCTTTAAAATAAATAGCAAGGATAGCATAGTGAGTTTTGCCGATGACACAGCTGTAATATATCATGAGCAAAAATTGGCAAGATCTAAAAAATCCAGTAGAAATAAATTTCGCAAACATAATCAAATGGTTTGATCAGAAAGAAAGAAACAATCAATACAGACAAAACACACTTCATGGCATTCGCTTCATATTCCAGTTACTTGCCCCAATTTACTACTTTGTCAATAGATTTGGGTGGAGAAACGGTGGACATTAGATCTGCTTCGAAGATAAAATACTTGAGATTAATACTAGATTCACACCTAAAATGGGATATCGACATCGAATTTTTACTAAAAAACTAAGAACAGTCAATTAAAAATTAAAATATCTAACTAGGTATTACGATACAGAGCAACTAAAAATAATATATTACTCACTATTTCAAAACCATTTATCATATGGAATTGAAACCTGGGGAGGTACATATAAGGAACACATACACGAATTAAAGATTATTTAAAAGTATATACTCAAAATAATATTCAAAAAACCAAGAATATATACTAGTAGTACACTTTATAGTGAAACCAAAATTCAAGATATTCGACAATTATATTTTATAAATTTCGTTACACATCAACACAAAAATCTAAAGGAATTAACTAAAATTTATCACCAATACCCTACAATTGTTGTCTCTATCATCAGAGCAAAAAAGGATTTATTACAACAATCGTTTTTATATTTAGAACCAAAATGTTATAATCTAGTCTCCTCAGGAATAAACCATCTTAATCACTTTAGCTTATTCAAAAAACATGTCAAAAAGTGGTGTAATAACATTAAGTTGCTCATATATCCACGACTTAATTGAGGGCAAATAATTGAAAATAAAAAAAAGAAACAACAAAAAAAGAAAATCTAAAAAATCATATATTTCTTTGTTCCTCTTACAAGCATGTATTACGTGTCCCAGAAAAAGTTGTATTTATTGTTATTGGTAACAATATTATTATTATTTTTTTTTGTGTCATCGGCGTCGACTACTACGGCCATTAGCCTCGTGTTTTGTGTAGGCTTTGTTACTGTTTCCCAGCTCCACTTTAGGAACAGCACTGTTAATTAGAACCCAACAGTGAATGGTCGAGTGGGGAATCCTACCTATGCATTAGAATTAATATTTAATTTTTTTTTTAAATAAAAATTCCTGCCACCACCGGTGGGATAATATTATTATTAATATTATTAATATTATTACTGTTTTTTTTTAATTTGGTGTCATCGGCGTCGACTACTATGGCCATTAGCCTCGTGTTCTGTGTAGGCTTTGTTACTGTTTCCCAGTGCTACTTTAGGAACAGCACTGTTAATTAGAACCCAACAGTGAATGGTCGAGTGGGGAATCCTACCAAGGCATCAGAATTAATTTTAAATAATTGAATTAAATGAAAAAATCCCGGCCAACGGTGGGATTCGATCCTGAGACCTTCCGATCTCAAAGTCATGACTCTAACCACTGAGCCAACCCACCATTGTTAATATTATTGTTGTTATTATTATTAGATGGTTATTAGTATTAATCTATACTCAGTTCTGCAATATATTATTTCGATGAAAGTATTATAAAAACACTTGACAGAGACACTAATTTATAGTCAATCCCACGCACAGACTTGCTCTTCTATGGGACTATCATATTTATTTTTTCCTAATATGGCTTATATTTACATTGTTAACCTTATATAATATGTCATTATTTGGTAAATGAATATCATTAATATTATTGTTATTTATTGTTATCTCCCTCAGTATAAGTCTGTACCTGTTTTTAATACTTCATTGTTTATCCTGTTCTGTGTATGAATCTGCCGGAGCAGCGGCAGCAAAATAACAATAAACTAGAATTTAATATAATAGTAGTTAATAAAATGATCAATATAATATACCTAATATATGTACAGGTTATTTTTAATAAAAGCGTCACATAAAATAATTTGTTTTTATTTTTCCTATTTCAATTTTCAGTTCGTTCACTCAATCTAACCTAAATTTAAAATTCGCTTCTCTCTAAATTTTTCATTTGTCAACATTACATGTTTTGCTTGCTTAGGGAAAGGAATAAAATATACATCATTCGAAACACCCTGCGAAATTCAGTTTCAGTGAAAAGGCCATAACCGTATTCCCTACAATCGAAAACATAACCTTTGACTTTTTAAATATTATATGAAATAGAAATCCATCTTATACCAGCCAAGAAAAATTGAGTAAATATAACGTTCATGCTTTGTTATATTTAAAAACGAATAGTCTATAAGAGCTACAGGCCAGTAAATAGAGATGTACAAACCAAAAAATTTAACATTAATTCTAACATTTTTTAACTTGCCAATTATGCAACTCAATACAGGGTCCCCAACATTGTTAAAATGGCAAAAAAAAAACTAATAGATTGCTGGATAATCAAAAATTTTACATCAAGTTGCATTTTGGCGACGATAACCACATAATACACCAAAATTCAACGTTGTACTTGATGTAGAAATTAGTTATAAAACGACGCATTCCAAATCTCCGGACAACGTCATCTTAACGTTGAGCATGTCTTTAGTTAAACTAGAACGTTGTTATAACGTTTACTGAACTGTCTATAAATCGCCGATGCGCGTGGAAAAGGTGTTAGGTCATATTTTTTTTAAAAATCAGGGTTATGTTATATTTCAAACTTTAAAACCACTATCTATGTGCGGTGTAAAGGAGATAAGTCATATAAGAAAGAAATAAGCCATAATATTTCCCCTTTATCTTGTGGAAAATGGGATAAGTTATGTTAGCTCATGTACACAAACTAAAAAACAACTACAGGGACGTAAGTTGACTTATCCATTTTTACACTGTTGTATATTTGTTTTAATTAACTTATACAAGAAGGGTACATGTTGTATATGCTACAAATAAAATTAAAAATGGCTGTTATCGATAAAGAAAAAAGAGTTTGAAGACCGAAATTGCGGTATATCATAAACAGGCTGATATGGATTATACCTCTGAAGAAGCAGATAAAATATCGTCTCTGT